GCCGACATTACCGTGGGGCAAAAGTACCTATCCCCCATCTCATGCAAAGCAATGGCTTGATATTTCAAAAGCATTTTATATAACTGACCAAATTTAAACAACTCTCCTACTATCATGCTTGCTGGCTGTTTTCCTTCATGAGCAGGTCATCTGAGCGGTAAGCTGACAAAAATCCATTTCTATTGAAGTAAAAGCCCTGTTTCTTTTATAATAAACCTATTTACATTTTAAAATTCACTGAGCTGTGTTTAGGCAAAAATAGTGGGGATTTTCAAGCTATAATAAACAAATGCAATATGCTGCATCAATAAGCTTTTCTTAAATTGTAGTGACTTGAGGAATGTTTTTTAAGAATTATGTATAAAAAAGGTGTAAATCATCTTTTACCTCTGCGGCTATCACAAACTTTATAAACATGCCAAAATTCATACCATAACATTGCTTAGGACAGAGTGAATGCCTCTTATAAAGTGCTAACTAAACATTACATGGATCTAGATTTTCAGAAGTAAGTAAGATTAGTTCATTGAAAGGATTATTAAAGATGTTGAGCATATTAGGAACAAAATGCTGTTTTGATACTTTTATTTCCCCCTATGTAGAGTTTATCTGGTATGGGTAAGAAAAACACATTTAACTATAAATTGTAGGAACCTAGTATTTTAAAAGTTGCTTATTAGCTGAGTTCCAGTTGTCACCCATGTGTAATTAAAGCCATAGTAACAATCACATAATAAAGATAATGAGTCAATAAAGTTAATAATAATAATAATAAAGTTAATAAAGTCAATAAAGTTAATGAGGAGAAGGTTGTCTGCTTAGGAAACTGACTCTATTTGCAGTTTAGATCAGCAATTTCAGCTTATGAAAATGCAAATGAAATATTCAAACTTGTCTGCAGCTGAGTCATACAAAGTCTTTTTAACATATCTGCTACTCAGGGTTGATCTCCATCTAAGAAGTCAGCTGCATTGCCATCTCTTTGGACTTTTCTCTCAATGCTTTATGAACTGCAAATTTTGTCATGACTTTGCAGTACTTTAGGCCTTGCTTTTTAAAAAAATATTCCATATACAATAGTTTACAGTGTCACAGTTTTAGACACTTTGTCACGTTGTTATCAAGAGCACACATGACATATTTACTGCCCGCATGACTGACCTGGCATTTCCATTGCCTTGGTTCCTCCTTCCCAGTTTCGAGATCTAGACCACCACATAAGACCCTCTAAAATTAAAACCAAATAGTAAAAAAATTCTGTAGGTTGAGGTAGACTCTAGTTTGTGATCTTCTAATATTGAGGCCACAGTACAACGGCATCTGTGCTGTTCTCACACCCACGTTGGTGAGCCTGGGGCTATCATATCAATACAGAAGTAGGTAAGAAGACTCGAGGCAGCTCTAATTTGGCATGCCTCTGTGCCTTTTCCTTCATTACATTTATTTATTTTTCCCATTGCTCAGAAACCTCTCACCTGCCCTTTTCCTGCTTCCTCTATGGCATGTCACCAAGGTGGCAACTCCCTGTCCTCTCATCCAACAAGCTCTGACCCTCAAGAGATAGAGTGCTAGACACAAAACTGGAAAAAAAATGGTCTCCACAACAGTCTAATGCTATGGTAGAGGTTTCTCCTGCCTTTATTGAGTGCTGATGATGTTGGGATGGTAGAGATCCAGATTTACTAGTTGCTATTCGTTGACTGCTGCTTCTTTAGTGACATGTATCTGAGTCACCTAGGGTACATCTTCTCGCAATTGTATTATAGTTTGCTGACTCACTTTAATGTGATGTTGTATTATTCATCCATTCCAATGTAAATAAGAGAGGATTACAGGGAGATTAATTCAGCATTTTGGAACTAATGGTGTTTGTCAAGGGTAAAATTCCCTTAAAAAGCTCAGTATACCTCTATTCATATTTGTTCATATGAGAAAAAAGATCTTACTCATGATGATCAAGCATAAGCACAGTACCCTTGGGTACGGTTCAAATGACGCTTCTTGCAACCTATTTGTTTATCAAGTGTTAATGATATCAAAAGGTAATCTGGTTTTGCAATGTACTGGAGATAAATTAATCTTTCAGGTAAGAAACATTTAGTAGTGCAAAATAAAATAAAGGGAGTGATATTGTTATATCACTGTCAGGGCATGGGTTACCTCTAATACCCAGAGAGTCCTAAGGAGGAGTTGACGTTCTACATTTTATCGTAATCCAGCAGTCTACACTGCCTTGGTGCACATTGCCTCGGTGCACACAAAGACAATATTCAGCAGCTTGGGTTGCTACAGCTTCCCACTTACTAGCAAGCCAGATTTCTTCAGACGGTGGTCTACCATTACTGCAGTATTTAACTGCTGCCCTTCAAAATATTGATTATTTTGGTTAGAGCCGAAATACCTCGAAGTCTTCTTCGTGACAATTCAGGAGAGTGGCCCCATCTTGTGGACGTTTCCAGGAGTGACTGTGGCTATGACAGCTGTTAACTGCAGCGCTTGCAATACGGTGCTGAAAAAGCTAGCTATTGTAATAGGCAGCATCAGATTTTGCCTAAACTAGAGACGCTTTGCCTGGGCTGAGCAGCTGGGAGTTATGGGTAGAAGATGCCTCTTCCTTTCTCGGGGGCAAACCTTTCTCCCTTTTCTGCAGGTGTGAGGGATCCTGCCTAAATAAGGCTTTTTAAAGATCTGGAGAAAAGTTTACACGTTGCCCGCAAACTCTTTACTTGTACCCTAGGAGGGATGAAGGCAGATGGGGATGAATGGGTATGAAACCAGGGTATCCCTCATCACCAAAGTCAACCAACCAAGCTGGGGAGCAATTTATCAGGGGCCTCAGAAGCCGTGACACCTATGGCATGCTTTGAACAGCAGGAGAGTTTGGTTCCCCAGCATGCTTGGAGACACCCTGTGCTAACCCAGGCTTAGTACATTTGGGGAAGAATACAGACAGGTTTTCACATTTCTTCTGCACAAGTTGCTTACGTAACCTGCGTTTCTGTGCCACGTGCCGTATCCTAGAGTTACAAAATGTGGCTCATTCATTTCAGCTAATGAGGCTTCCCGCAGAATGCTTATTTTTAAGAAACTGTGCAGTATTTGGAGAAAACAAAACAAACAGGAGAAACCCTGCATGTTTAAAATCCATGCTTCCAGTCCCTTTCAAAGAGGTTTTTAACGTCAGTAACCGAGCTGACATTTCTCAGTTTGGAACAAGCGACAGCAGAGACACCGCTTTTCCAACACCCTGAACATTACGTTTTCTTAGTAACGAAACATTTCATCACGCTACCCTTCTCGTTTCCTATGAAACCCGCGTCATTACGCCGTCTTCACAAACGTGCAATATTTGGGGAATTACTCTAAGGTTATCAAGGAACTGAAAGACAGCAAGCGTGCCAAGAGGCCAGACCTCTTCCCCTGGCCACGTGAGGAAGCTGTCGGATGAGGAGCTGGGCTGCAGGAGGCCGCCAGGCTACGCGAGGTACAGCTGGTGGCTTGCCTTGGGTAGCTGGGGACATAGGCTGACACAGATGGGGGCTATGATGCAGGAAGCACTGCGGCTGGCATGGGGGGGTTTCGAATCACAGGAGGTATGGGCTTGAAGGAGTCTCTGCAAGCCATCTAGTCCTACGTCCTACTGCAAAGGCAGACCGCCCTGGTCAGGGCCTCAGCCAGCCCCAGCCTGAGCATCTCCAAGGACAGAGATCCCACCACTTCTCTGGGCAAGCTGCTCCAGGGCTTAATCCCTCTCACTGTTAATTATTTCTTCTTCACATCTAGTTACAAGCCACATCCGCGGCCTCTGGCCCTTTCGCTGCTCCCCTTAGAGGAAAGGGCAGCTCGGCCACCCGCTCCCGGCGGCGGGGGGGGGTGGCAGCCAGGCACTCCTCCAGCTCTCGCACCTCCTCCATCAACTCCCCCCTCTGTGGCAATACCTCCCGCGATACGACTGCCCCAAAGACCGGGGCGCTGCCTGGCCGCGTGCTGCCGAGGCACACGCGTACCGGCTGGCTGCCCCAAGGGTCTCCAGCTTCATGACTCTTCTGCTCACACCAATATTGTTTGACACGTCCATCTTAACCCGTTGAGGTGTGCAGGCAACCGGCCTACCCCGACGATACAGTTACCCCCAACAAGAGAGTGCTGTGAGAAACTGCCGAGCGTCCCGGAGGCCAAAGGGAAAGTAACGTCCGTGCAGGCGGCTAACCTTGATTTACGCCTGCGCTAACACGGTAGCAGTGCGAGAAACTGCCAGTTAGCAAAACTGGAGCCAGGGTGGTAAAAGTACAGAGGAATGGGTTGTTTGTCCAGAGGGAAGGGAGGCTGGTAAAGGGTAAGAACCTGAGAGTGGGGAAAAAGGAATATAACGTACGGCAAATGATAAAATCAGGGCTGATTTGTGGGTGCCTCTTGGTCAGCCCCATGCCTGCTCACCAAAGTTTAGGGCAGGACAGTAAACCCGCTGTTTCCACCGTGCTCCTGTCTGGGTTACTTCCGCAGTCAGGAGGGACTGGCTCTGTTTTTCCTTGGTGGCGATGAAAGAATATTGGAAGTACTCTTCTTAACGTTGATTAGGCAGCCCCTGGAGGGTACCTCCTAACGACAGCACCCCTTACTAGTTCACACAGCCAGCTGTTGGTTTCACGCATGGGAAATTCTGCTTAGTACAGCAGGATGTCTGAAACAAATTCTTTATAGAATATGGTTTTCATGCAAATGAAATGCAGCAAATTCTTCATAGAATATGGTTTTCATGCAAACAAAATGCAGTAAAAATATGGTTTTCATGCAAAACCAGGTTATTCTCATGTTATCACCTGGGACCACCACTCATCATTCTGAAATAAAACCTGAAATGATTCAGGTAAAATCAGGATGAAAAGTTGTGCTCACTAGGACAGAAGAATGGATAAGCAATGCCATTGCTCTTAATGTCGGAAAGCAGAATAATGAAGCAAATACAAGGCAAGATGAATCTGAATAACTTTAATGCCTAATGGTCCTTCAGTCCAATTTTGTTTTCATATTCTTGTGAAAATCTTGTAAACATAATTAAGAACTATAAATTAAAATGTTCCTATTTTTGTTTGTGAAAATTTTCAAAACCGGATAGTTTCCCCTTGGCTGTTTTCTTCTCAAAAATTTAATTAAATTTTAAGTAAACACTGATCTTGAAACCTAGTGTTACTTTATGCTTCTGTCAAATATACATTTTGATCCAATCAATCATATCCTGTCTAGCTTCTTCAATATAAGGTTTATCCTGAGGTTTCATATCTTCTGGCTTCAACTGTGCAAACCCATGAACTTGTCCAGGATAAACTTTAATTTTATATGCAACTTTACAGTACTGTTTCAACTTTTCCTCCAGTAAGGTGATCTGTAAAAGAAAGCATTTTTCCACTGTGTCATGTTTTTTAAAGTTTGCCAAGCTTGCCGTTTGCCATATCGCTACATCTTTGCCTTATCCTCACTGTCACGCTTGAAGTGGACTATCGCTTGATAGATAAGAAAACCCCACTTTGGCATATAAAACACTGGATTCGTTTTTAAAAGTACAGATGAGTCTAAGAACCCTCAACAGGTACAGCAAAGATAGTTCTACTACAAGTGCTACAGTTCCAATATCAAGCACTGAAAGTTAAAAAAATAGGAAAATGATCACTGATTTTGTGGTCACTGTAAGCACTGTACAGGCTTAATTCCACCGACTGTGCAGGTTAGAGACAGTATTGTGATGTATTTCATGTTCATGCTACTGCTTTCATAGATCCCTTTAGTACTTAGTGCAGAAAACAGCGTATTGAGGATTTTTTTTTTAATAAGCTTCAGAATTTCCTTACAAAAACTACACAGATAACGTTGAAGTTTGAGAGAGAGAACCTGAGGAGAAAAAGATATGGCTTCAGTGTGTAACTGCATGATGGAAAAGATTTATTTATGAAATGTGTGAGCCTGGAAAAAGAAAAGATGCTTTCACCAGAACAAGTGGACAGTGAATGAAGGATTTATTTTGCTGTTCAAAGGAGCAGCATATTCGAGGTGTAAGTCCACATACTGAATAACACAGTTAAAAGTAAATATTGGTTGGCTTCTTCATTCCCAGAGTGTACTGCCAATTCCCCATTACTACGCAATAATCTATTCTAGAGGTGGCATTTTACCATTCTCATCGGAGAAGGAATTTAAACTTTGAAGAGGACTCCAATTTCCCATGCCCGTATTTATCCAGCCTCTCTAATAAGCTTATGATAGAGGCTATGTAGAAATATAGATGGCAGTCAGGAGTCAAAACAGAGTCCACAAGTTGCAGTCGTCTCATTTTGAAATTCATGACCACTTTTCCAACACAGTTCATTTGGCCTTGTTGTACCCAAAACCAGTAAATCTTTGGGTCTACATCATTCAGAAAGTTCAGTCGCTAAGCTGAAATTATTTTTTTCTCTTCAAAGTTCAGATTCATATTCAGTGGTTTAACTACCTGTTCTCTCATCCACAGCAGTAGTATCCAAGTGTCTGATCTGTTTGACTCATACCAGTTGCATCTCGCAGCTCAAACTGTCTGATCTTTCATATCAAAAAATGTTTTCTAGCAAGCTAGGATTTCTGCTGTGTAGGATAGAAGAACTATGGGAAAAGAAGACTCATACCCAATACAACAACTTACCTGATCATAAGAAATAGTGTGGTCTTTCTCACCAAAAATGAAAAACGTGGGATTTAGTAAATTGTATCTTTCTTCGGAGTCCCTAATTATTCCTATAATATATTTGAGAAACAGTCTGTTAGGGAGATAACATTCTTGCAAGATGAATGGCAAAATCACACACAAAGTTTCTACTTAGGTTTACTTCTTAAGTACATTTTTTAGATAAGGACAGTTTCTATTCCGATGGAGAAAAAAAGCATTTGGAAAATATTTTTCCCACTCTCCAAGCACTAAAAAATTGATTAGAAAATTCCAGTGAAAAAGGAAATAACTTTTTTCTGGTTTACACCAGTCTTAAATTTTGACAGCAATATAATGCAATATGGAAATAAATTGTGATAATTGAAATCTGCAACTCACCTTTGAGTTGAGCATTTACAGAAAACATTACAAAGCAATAACTAGACTAAAAACTACATATAGTCATGTAAGTCCATGTAAGTGTTCATGTGTTCTACACTACCATAGAGGGACACCCCCGCGTTTAATTGAGGATTTTTCAGCATCAAGTGATGTACTGCCATTCCACCCCAGGAAAACCCAACGATACCAATCTTCTTTGCACCGCATTGTTCCTTTAGATACTTCAAGACAACATCAGCTTCCCTAAGACATATAAACAAAAGTGAACTAAGGAATCTATAGCAGAATCAACATTTGACAATCTGAAAAGTAAATTAAAATTGATACATGAAATTTTCTGCATCTACACCCCAGATCATTTAAAAAGAAAAAATCTAATTTCAGCCTCAGATCGGTGGTTTCTATTTTTAAATGGGAGTTAACATAGCTGGTCCTAGTTTAAAGAAGTAGCCATATACAGGGGCAGGTACTTAAATACTTACCTGAATTGTCACCTGCTCCTCTATTTTCAAAAGAAGCAAATTTTTAATTGAATCACATTGCCTAGGACAGGACAACTAAAGACAAGGCATATCTGCAAGCAGAACAACACCTTACATTATGGATTGTAGGGACAGATGAGCTTCACTGTGCTCTCTCTACTGAATCTACCTATTTAGGTAAGGAAACACCGGAATATGTCATTCCTGTTGTATGAGTTAATATTAAAAGTATCTTACCAAGCCCACATATGAGAACAGGATATTAAATTAATAATTACTCAGAATTAAATTGTCGGTAACTATAATGTCTAAAAAAACAGGTATTGCAGAAAATATGAAAAGCGTTTTTAATGTACACTAGAGCAAGACAAACTTTTAATGAATTTTTTGTCTCAATAAGACTCATAAGTCTCCATAATTTTATCTTCTTCGTTATCTACAGAGCAGTCTGTCACTGAAATTTAAATGTAGACTGTATATACTCGTAATTATATTTTCAAAACTGAGGTATGTTAGTAGGGTTATCACGGGCTTGGTTAGATTGACAAAAGCATCATCCACGATCTGCCTGTCTTCGAGGCTTGCAGCTGTGGACTGCTCTGTAAACTGGTAGGCTTTCAGAACTGGTCTGTTTGGAAAGGGACTAAGTCATGTGTGCATTAACAGGATTCCTTGTGCTCTGAAACAGCCACAGATCTGATCTTGGGGCAGCTACACATCAGCCCTTGGAAGACAGCACAGGCATGTCCTTGAAGTCTTGACTGGTTGAGACAGTGCCTTCACATCTGCACATTTTGGATGGGAATTTTTGCAGGTAACTGTTATCCATTTGTTTTTTTCCAAACATTCAGTCTCACAGGTACTGACTGCAGCTATATGGTCAAAAGCTGCGCTGAGAGGTGTCAGAGTTAGGCTATGGGTGCTGGGACCTCTTGAAAGAGTCACGAGAATACTTTGTGGCTTACAAAATGATAGCTGAGTAATGGGGTGTCACTCTGTCTACCATTATCTTTTGAAGCTCTAGACTTGAGCGGTGATAGACGCCTCAGTAATTTGCCAGAAAAAATAATGCCTCCCATAATTCAGGTAAGGTTTGTTACCGACACTGCTAGCATCTACAGATAGTGGTCCCTCTATTACATGTGTTGATAAAATCAGTAGCATTTATCAGATGTATTTCAGTTTTTAGGCCATCTTGCAAATTTTGATCTATTAGGAGAATATTATCTACAAGGGAGAAAGCAGGATAGGGGAGTGACAACTGGCAGATTGCACAAGCACTCATGGAAGAGTTTTCCTCATTTTCCCGAGGAACTGGAGCAGTGTCAGCACCTCTGGGTGACAGTGCTAGGTAGTTCATTGCCTGTGACATACTGGCTACGGGACTGTGCCGTCAGTACAACATAGTTAGAAAAGGGCCCAAGAAAACAAGACTGAGGCAGGAACAATAAGCAGAGTGACAGATGGAGCAAATGATCCTTTCCAAATCCCACGATAGTGCCTAGAGCCACAAAAGGACCACCCAGAGTCAGCAACCAGGTGCATGCAGCCAGCTTGCCCAGCTGCGAGGTGCTGCTTGTAACATTTCAGAGGCACACAAATTCCCTTTGTTTGCTGCATGCTCTTTAAAATTCAAGCACAAATACACATCTTACCTGTCTACTTTCATAGGATCATGATCTTTCATCCAGTCAGCAAAGTCAGCCCAATGATCAGTAGTTTTCCAAGGCTCTTTCCCCTTGAGGAAGTCTGGGCAGATGGCTCTGCATGAGACATTGAACCTAGTTAGGTCCAGATGGGGAGAAACTGCGCATGTCTAAATGGCTCTTAATCTCTTTTTTATTCCAAAATACTCATCTGCATGGGAATCATATTCTAATAATTCTATTCTGGTAATCAGTAGAGCTAAAAAGATATGGAAAAAAAATCCCAAAACACAAATGATTTCTCATTATATCCATAGGCATGCTTAATACAAAAGCAATGGGATTGAAAAGCTCTCTTGATTCTGTATAAACACATATTCAACTCTTGACTGGTAAAAACTAAAGCAACTGTTAGTATTGGTTGCACTCCAGAAGGTTTGGTTTCGAAAAGCTTACACAACTTAGAGATACATACAGATATTTTCGTCGTCTATCTTTTAATCACCCACCGTGCCAGGTAAGCACAAATGCTGGCACCTCGTGACTGACACTGTAGCTTTTTGCTCAGGTAGCCATTGGTGACTGGTCAATTTTAGTAGCTTTGGTATAGTGGCCTCATGGGAACATCTCATCCCTTTGTGTTTTTATTCACTCAGACTGAAATGCTATGGCTGCCGTTTCCATGCAAATGGAAAACGTCATACGCTATGCTTTACTTTGGGCCTGCTGACCCATTTTCTAAGAGGAAAATAGTAAAGATCGTTGCTTACATGTATCCCTGAAGGGCAACCAAGTCAACTATGTATCTAGTGTCTGGGAACAGCCATCCAAATATATCGTGAATCACAATCACAGCTTTGTCCGTGAAGAAAGATGGTTTACAAATATATGCCTTGATGTGCTCAATCTGTATTTCCTCCCCGAGGCACCTATATTGAGATCTTTCTCCACTATCATAGAAGAAAGCATCAGCCATTTTGAAACCTGAGTTTAAAAAAAAAAAAGATATTCTGTTAATACAAAATTAAGGTAAATGGGCAAATGTGATCAGCAGAATGTAGTTTTGTAACTTCTGTAAATAACTTTCACATCTATGTCTGAAAGGAGAAAGTAGAAAAACTCAAAAGCAATGTTCCAAAGTAGAGTGGTTCTTAGTCTTATATATGTTATTGAGCTGAAGAGAGTTATAAAAAGCAAAGTTAAAAAATCACAAACAACATACACGTATAGGTGCTGACTCTCGTATCACATTTGTTTTGCTCTCATGTAACTCTGTCAACACTGGTGTGAAGCAGCTGCTTCAAATGTTACTTTCTCCCCAGACATATGGAAAGAATGACCAGTCGTGGCAGTCATGTGTGTCTTCACGTAGAGTCACATGCTGGTTGCACTGAGTTATGTGATGGGTGAGGACCACAGCATGCAGCTGCTATCGCGTGCAGCGCTTCTTTCGGTGCTGGTCCCTGCTAGCTAGCTATGTGTGCGTTCAGCAGCAGCTACGGATCATCAGAGCTGCTCTGGGACCCCACGTACCAGATGCAGTTGGTGAACAGCTGCAATACTGCTTTGTAAATTAGATTCCAGACCCTTCCAATACGCCCTCAAAATGGACTACAAGAAAATAAGCAAATGTACAAGTCTCATTCAAAATATGTGAGTTGTTGGGAGAGTATTTGGTTTTGTTCCTTCTCCAAAAATAGTAGTTAGGAACAACAAGACATTGTGCCAGAGTGCCAGAGAGATTAAAGTCAAAAGCCATTCCCACTTTCTGTGCCTGGAACATGGAATGGACTCTGTGGAAAAAATCGAATGTGATCCTGTAATTAAAAGTAGTTCTAAATGCATCTGTACAAGGAATCCAATTAAGTCTACAGGAACAGTGTTAACCGTAGCATTTCCTAGTCATGTGCTGGCTTTGAAACAGTTCTTGGGGACATGTACCTACAACCATATCTACATTATGACTCTCTCAGCTTCATCATTTCTATATTAGCCTGTTACTTCTGCTTGAGTAGTAACATGAGTTTCAGAAAACTGTTTAGCTCTCTCGGAAAGGTGAAAAATTATGTAAAAAATTCATATCCTCATCAGCTCTCCATTAACCACAGCAGCAGAGGACTAGGTCTCACCAAGTAATGGGAAAACCTAGCTAATATGGACACATTGGGAACTGTGGTGCACACAGATTTGAGAGCAGAGCCAGTCTTGCAGAGACTGTGCACAGCTTTCTTGTGCCTACACAATGCTTCCCATCTTGCATAATTAACTGAGGCTTAATGACAGCATCAGGCTTTTTCTATGCATTTAAATTACCTTCTTCCCCAGATAATCAGCCTTCCCAAAGTATAGTGCAGAGACATTGTTCTTCCTCATCCTCTGCCAACCCCAGGGCTGCTGTCATCAGGTCTGGCAGGGCTAGCACTGAGCTTGAGCAAATATGCCTGATTACTCCCGTAACTCCTGGCTGTAGGAGTGCGGGGTAGAGATACAGGAACAGGATGAGTGCAGCTCTACTGATTCTGGAATTAACCTGCTTCAGAAGTATCCATGAGATGGGTGATCTCATGATGTGAATAATCCTGCAGATAAATGAGAGCTGCCTACATTTGTTAATTGTTCTCCCCTGAATTCAACACCTGAATGTCAGGGTTGATGCTAGGAAACCTCCATTGTTTTGCCATCTTATGAAAGTGGAAGTTGTAACGTGCCTGGGACAGTGTTTCCTAGCTTAGGTCCCTCATAAGAGCGTTCTGTTTATGCAAAAGTACTTTCTACCTCATTTCTCTTAACCTCAGATTAATCAGCTTGTTGAAATGTTAAGAGACTGCTTGGAGAATGCTCAGGCATTCCCCAAAAGAGCCAACTCCTCTGGCTGCTTAGATGGCAGCCAGAATTTTACCTCACTAAGGTCTTTCATTCAGAAGGGCTCAACCCGTGGCGTCCCCTTCAAGGAAATAATGTTTAGGAGGCATTAAGCTTTGCAACAGTTGTGAAACAGCCTACTGTATATATCTTGGTTGCTTCCCAGAAATCATTTTTTTGGCCTATCTAGATTGATTCTTAGCCAGCTGGCTCTTCTCCAGGCACCAGGCTGTGAAGAATTTTAGTAAATAGTCAGCCACACCTAAGCAACCGGCAAGTCTTTGATGGGATCCTGTTTAGTCAGAAACTCTGTTCGGGCCCGCTTTGTTCCAAAGAACGAAGCACGGCACGGTGAAGCAATAATGCAGGATATTTCCTACCTCTCCCTTCTCACCTCATTCCTTCTTCCCACCAATCTTATCCATTACCCTTTTCCTTTTCCTGCTTTCCCTGTGGCACAATTCCAAGCAGGCAGAACCTTGTCACCTTTATACCCTACTTCTGAGCTCTAGCACGGAGGAGACATGGGGCCTGGCATAAAGCTAGGAACAGAGGAAACTACTGCTAACAGGGAAAAAACAATGATATCCACAAGTCTGCTGTCACCCTGCTTGTGAAGAGAAGACTTTCTTATAGCTTCCGCTTCTTACCAGTGCTTCCGCTGTCCCTTGCTTCCTTGGGTTTCTCAATATCATCCAGCTCTTCTGCAAGTAACAGAAAAGCTTTAGTATTATCACAAGGCAAAGGTGGGCTCCACTGGGCTGTAGGACAGATCCAAACTACTCACTTTTAGGAGGTAGCAAATAACATAGTTAAATCTTGCTGAATCTTCATTTTCGATAAAAAGAAACAAATTCTTACCTGAAAGGTAAGAATCCTTTAAAACACAATCAAATACAACTAGGAAAAAGATAAGGATAATTTCCACTTCTCAGAAAGTAAGCCTGAGCAAGGAACCTCAAAGTGCTTTGCTTTTTGCTAGCACCTTGGGCTAGTGATGCCGAGATGTGACATCTCTGCCTTCTTCCCTGAGTCCAGTGATAACATTTTAGCATTGAAATAAACTACCGCTGGACTTTACGTGCTTCAAGATTGAATTTCTTTCAAAAAAGAAAAAGAATGGGAATTCATTACTATAAGGAGGAAAAAGAGTTAAAAAAAAAAAAAAAGACTATGATCCTCTAATCTGATCTTGCAACTGCTGGACACAAAATGCTGCCCAGTAATTCCAACAGAAAGTGCCCAAACTGTCGCTGAAGTAAGATGTCTCTCCCAAAGTCAGACAATCTTGACTTAAAAGCTTCAAGTGACCATACAACCTCCCTTGCTTATTTGTGCCAATGTATGACCACATTTAGAATGAAAAATGTGCTTTGAAATATAGGAGTTGCTGTCAAAAAGAAATAAAGCAGAACAGAATCAGTCTCAAAGAGGATCAGACAGGGGAAGAGGAGAAACAACAGGGCAGAAATAGCTGCTTGTTCCCAAGGCTGAGCATTATTTCCTTCAGGCGACGCTGGATGAAGTCAATAGATGCCATCATTAAGGCGTCTATTAAATAAAGGATAATACCTAGGATGAGAAATAACTATTTCAGTATTAAACAGAGCCATGGACCTGTGTGCACAGTGGGAAATATGCTGGGAATCATGGCGTGTCCTCAGAACTGCTACTGTGCCACAGCTCACAGCAGATATTCAGAATGAAATTCAGTCTTTCCCAAAGTTGACACCCTTCTACACCTTAGCCACTCCTTAATTCTTGTCTTCGTGCAGCTGTTTACTAAAACCAAAATAAAGGTCTTTCTTTCACAGAGTGATTTTTTCCTGCAATGTTTAGTGCATTTTCAAAGAGTCATTTCTAATTGCTTAGCAGTTTCAGATTTCTCCCATTCAATATAGTTAACAGTTAGCCTTTCTCTGCTGCCAACTCAGTCTTTGTGGACCAGTTTGCCATCACATACCTGGAGTACCAGATTCTGTTTTAGCCCAGCTCGCTGCTTCTGTTCAGTGAGATACCAGCTAGATTTCTCTAAACACAAAAAGAAGAAAACCAGTTCTGCTGACAGTGTTGCTCCTCCTGCTGCTGCTACCCATCCAGTTCCCAAATGCTGCTACAACTCTTCTGCGATATTTGGGATTGGGAGTTGAGGAGGAGTACTCCAGTTATCCAGACAGGAAGGGGTGGAGACAGATCATGCAGAGAGGCAGGGTTCAGTAGACTCCAAATCAAGTGCCTTTCACTCCACCTTTTACTATTTATTATTTAAAGAATTTAGAAAGCAAGATGCATGCTGGCATTTGCTTAACTGCACTTATGTTTTCATGTCTTTGAAAATGTGCGCTTGTACAGACAAATTGAAAGGAGGACTTCTGAGTCTTCTTATCAACATGCCTCAGTTCTCTGGTAAAACTTCCCTTCCAGACCTGTGCAATACAAAGCGAATGATATGTCTGAGGTAGCTGCTTAAGATACTGGAGAACCTTTGGACCTCAGCATTTATAGCTGAGATATCTAGCATCAGTCGTGTATTTCCTGATGCACTGTTAAGTTCAGAGATGCATTTTCTTACAGTATGTTCATGCACTTTTATTGCCATAATAATTATTTTTAATGGAATTTGTGCTGAATTAAGATGAATCTTTCCTGTCAAACTTTAAAAATTCACAAAAGGCTTCCCCGCACACAGATCAAACCTATTACAACCACACCCACAAGTATTCCCAACAAGTCTAAAAGTGTTCCAGGACTTGCTTTCAACAAGTTAGAAACATCTGACTCTGAGCTGGTTATTACTGATGGTGACTCGTTGAAATTTTCCATTCCCATTTCAGTAATGGCCTTATATGCAAGGACCATTAGCTTAGCCTTTGGATTGATGTCTACTACGGGTTTAATTTTCTTTTCATGTGTGTGTGTGGGTGTGTGTATGTGCTTGTGAGTATGCCTGCGTGCGCATAAGGAAATAAAGAGACAAAAGAGCTCAAAGAAAATGGCAATGTTATCACAAAGCAGTGGTCAATAAATAAATTTTTTATCCGAACTGTATACAACAAAAAAGTCCCAGAATGGCTCTGTAGATCTTGAGCAGTACTTTGTGTGGTAGTGACCACTTTGCAATTGAGAACCATGTAAGACAGGTGATGTTTGGATTCAGTTCACCCGAACTTTAGACATGCACAATGTGGACGCCTGTATGTCAGCTACATGTCTACACGCCCACAGTTGTCGTTGGGATTTAGGGTATGATTCACACTTGATAGGTGTCTTCTGTAGTAGGAAACAGACAGGCCCCTAGATGACGCCAACTGTACTGGTCAGATCATCACTAATTTTAATGGCAGCCTACCCACCTAGTGCAGATGTCGATTGCTGAACTGCACATGATCAATCAGGCAAGACGAGTCCCACCTCTATGTTGCTGCGGGAGCTACACGCTGCTGAGAATTAAGGTTTGTCACGACCAGATACAGAAGGTATTTTTTTATGTCCTGTCATATCTGTGAATAGCTTTGCATGTAGGAATTTAAGAAATCTTCAAAAATATTGTTTGTGTTGCAAGGGAGGGAGAGAGAAGACGTCACTGAAAGCATCCATTTTATACTTTGATCTTAATGCCATCTGGCTTGAGTGCAGTCTAATCCCACCTGAATGGGCATCCTATAGTCAGATTCCCAAGACTGAAGTACTGTTTTCCTACCGTGGCCTGCAGGATTTGGGTCCATGCAAGCTGCAATTCACGCTGGAATGGAATGGGCCAGCGGAGCCAGGAATCTGATCTGACATACCGAATTGTGAATGTAAACCTGTTTTCGTGCCTAGCATCTCTTTGGAGGTGATTAGGGTGAACGGAGAGCAAAGGAGTAGCTCTGATGTAATGCATGCCTTTACCTGCACACTGATTATGTTTGACCTGCAAATCCTAAATCATGTAGGTGTCTCATACTTGAGAGACTATTGCCTTCCCCGTAAGACAGAATCATCTCTGCAATGGACTCTAGAGCGTGGACTTCATTGCACAAGTACACTTCCTACAGTCTCAGGCAACTCATATATTTATTTTTTTAAGCCCGTGGTGAACTTCTCTAATTTTAGGGTTTTGAAAAAAAAAAAAAAAAAAGGACAGCTGAGGTTTGGAATGAGCACAAGAGACTCACTTGTTCAAACATACTGTGGTTACATTGCTCCTTTACCTGGAAAACAGCTGCTTGCCTGTTTTTTTTTCCTGAAGGTTAGCACCAATACGATTGCTCCTCCTGTTTTTACAGAAGTGGGTGTGGTATAGTAAGCTCTCCTGGGTGTTGGCTGCATTTTTAGCTGTATGTTAATGTAAGAAATTAGATCATAGGACATGCAAGCCTGCTGGCCTGAGGCAGAATAGAAGGGTATTCTCTCCCAGGCAACTACTGATAGACAGAAACCCGGAAAGACAGGAGTGCACTCCTGGCATCTAGCGCAAAAGGGGAAGAGTCCAATGGCAGAGACCAAGCGACAAGCTTAAGCACGTCCCATTTACTTTCACCTGGTACTGTATTAGGAGTGCTGATGGTAGCAACAGACTTGTCAGAGAGTTGAAACCATAACAAACACTGTATTTATGTTGTGAAAAACCTGTTCAAGGTGACCTGATGAGTGATGCTGTGCCTGCAGCCTCAGCCAACAGATGCTACAGTCAAGGGAAAAGGGATAGCAAGGCTCCCTCTCACCCATAACAAGAGTTTGCCTTGGTTTTGCGGGCAACAGTAGCCTTGTAAAAGGGCTTCTGCTGTTGAGGGTACCTCATAGCCACAGCCAGCAGGAGGCTAGTGGAGAGGCTAGTAGGAAAGGTTAGGAGAGAGGTATGGTTGGATAGAGGACTGGGACAACTGCAGTGCTGGTAAGCGCTCTGTGCCCGGTGCAGGCACTGTGCCTAGCACTGCAACTGAGATTAAAAGGTGTCCCATGGGACTTGATATTTGGCTAGCATACACAAAAGCAGGGTGGCTACAGGAGCGGAGCGTAGCTAGTCCCTCTCACACAACTTCACTAGACTGAGAAGGCCTAATTAGCACTCCTGTCATTTGGAGATGTGTTTGTTTTTCTTGTTTCCATGCTATTCTTTTCTTTCCGTCCAGTAAAATGCTGCGTAGCTAAACTCATCTATTGAGTCATCACTTGTGAGTGAAGAAATACTATTTAACACTCCGATTTCATTTTCCAGGTTTCTGGCTTGAGGCTTTAGTCAGTGTTTGAATAAAGATCCTTGGAAATTGAACCAACTCTTGTTACGGCAAATCCTGGTAGGAGGGAGGAAGGTACAGATACTTTCACTGCCATCAGCGGAAAACTGTTCTCACTCTTAGGAGTTTGTTCTTTACCATTTAGCTAGCATGGTACTCCAGAGTTCATGGCTGCCCTTGCCCAGAACATTACACAAATCTCCAGGAATTCTCTGACTTTGTTGGTAGTGAAACAAATCCCTGCTCCTTCCCATGCTTTTCCTGTGTTCAAGAAGAAGGTTCGGAAACCTCTCATCTGTGGGAGTGATCTTATCTGCTTCATCTGGTGAGGAGCTGATGAGCACTGCACGCTCTCTGCACCAAATAGAGCACCTACAATTCCTCATCTAGCGCCAGGACTTAGGCCTGGGAGATTTCTTGTTCTTTATTATCAATTTTTACATGTTTCTCCACACTCCTCCTCCTCCTCTGTGTTTTTATTTGGT